GTGTTGATTTCCATGTGGAGATACTGGAACGGTTTGAACTAAGTATTTTTGGAAATACATATTTTTTTCCGAGAGTAAGCTCAAACGTTAAGATTATTAAGACAACCCACGTGTATTTAATAATATTGTTAAAACTTGTCTCCTGTCAAAAAATCAGGTCCGCTTATTAGTATTTTGTGGTATACTTAGTATATTATTTACGAGAATTGCAAGCAGTGAAGTTGCCTGAATGTAGAGATACGAACTGAACGGTTATGTACAGAAAACGCTCAAGAGTTATAACTTGTTAACGAGTTACGAGTAGTAGGCCTGAGCAGTAAGATTGGTGAGTAAGTAATTACAGTTTGACATTTACGAGAAACTATATTCGAAGTGATTATGGGAAGCTCTAAAACTCATGTTTCAAATATATTGACGAGACTGAAAACATTTAACTCAGTTTACACCATCCAAGGTAGAATATTGAGAAATGCAGTGCATTATCTTAAAGTACATCATCTTACATTAGACATTTCTATTTGAACAAAAACGACATTCAGCTTGGGTTGATCTCGTACAGAGATCAATTTAGCCATTAACCAGGAATCTTTGTTTACCAATGCAGAACTTTTTATCTCATTTTTTACGCGTACTTTTCTCTTCATCAAGAACTTCTGCACTTCGGGAGTTTTTTGTTGTTGTCAGAACTCACTGAACCAGCCTCCGGCGCATCAGAGAATTCCCGTTTTTCCTTCTGACAGAGATGTTTTCGAAAGTTTCAGACGACTGGGGGGAAATGGCGCGCAAACGTGGTTATTCGTTTCGCGTGCCCTCGAATCACAGTCGATACATTGGAAATAGTCGATACATTCTCTGGCAATTAACCAAGCATTGTTTCCCACTCAAGCGAACCCGTGTGGGAGTACTGATGTGTGAAACGCTCATTTTTTACGCTCTAGTAGAATACTGGCATTTCCAGCTGCTAGTGGAAAGCGGGGAAAAGTAACTGCGCAGTTGAGCGAGAAGAAGAGATCTCGTGACGTCATTACCTGCTTCGAGACAACTTCCCCTACAGGTCCTTCGAGGACTGTTGAAAGTCACGGTTACCTTCGACGAGTTTATGGATGTTCTTTTTAGCTAAGTAATGAGACGACATGAAGTGCTCTTCCTTATGAAGCATTCTCTCACGCAATATGCAGCAATAAAATCGTCACCGGAAAGAATGCTCGAATAAAACCTATGCCATTCTCAAGATGGTCTGTAATGAAGTATTATTTTCGTAATTTACATTAGGAGTTGCCATAAATGTTATAAAAGGGATAATTATTAATTTGAGAGTGAATAAGAGTTCAGAATTAATTACTGACAAATCTCATTACCTGACTTTATAATACTTGAGAATTACAAATAAATTTATTACTTATGTAAACGCGTAAACTTATTTAAATTATTTTATTTCCTCTTATATGAATGATATTTTGGAGTTAATTTTGAAATAAATTGAATGTTATATTTGTAAGCTCGACCAGGATCAGTTTCAAGTAATACAAGTTCAAACACGAGTAGAAATGGGTCAAAAATTAACGCTGACTGAAAAGAGGCCATAGATGAGACAACTTTTTGGCTGGAAGAACTTTTAATACTTTCGTTGTCTTCCCGTGCCCACTACTTCCCCACCCCCAAATAAACCCATGATGCCAGATAAAAGAAAATAATTTTAGTTTTACGTTTTTGTTAAAATGGAACCAATGGGTGACTTTGTGCACTTTAATTATGTGCATAGTACTTGAAACAATACATATTAGGAAGCTTCGTCTGTAGTAAAATATATCTGGCAAAATTGAATCAGTCAGAGAATTTCAATGATTGTTCAGGCATATTGCAACCATAAAAATGGATGAGGTTTCCCATGTATTTAAATACCTAGTATTTAAAAATTCGACTTTTCGTTATGATGTGCAAGTTTGAATAGTCACTTTGTAAACATAACTATAACCACACACTCACATGCTTGCTGGTGCTGTGCGACGAAACTACGACTGCTTTAAACAGATCGAACATCACGAACGATCTATGAAATAAATGATCGATTGTATCATAAGAAACATAATGCACAAATAACGCCAGATAAGTCGTTCTATTAATTTGAAGATATTACAATTCAGTGTTATAAAACCGGCTAATAATAGCAAGCGATAACACATCTGGGATCCACTACCTTTCCCTTAAAGCAAAAATTAGTAAATTTAGTTAAGTAAGAAGCTAAAACTTCTTTCTAAAGAAAAAACGCTTAGTGTTTTCAATACAAAGTTATCCGATTTTACTAATTGTTCTTCCTGACCTTAATGATATCACTGATAGTGAAGTGTGAAATTCTTGTTCTACATCTAGGCTATTATATTCACAAGATAATAAATGAAAAGTTTTGGCTTCGGATTGAATCTTCTTTTTGTATGCTTGAATTGAGAGTGATTCACCAATCAAAACTTGTTGATTTTTTCACGTGGTACATTCATTTGAATATTTTTTTTCTAATTTCTTTAATATGAAATTAACTTTTTGGATAGAAAATTGCTCCAATTTGCAATCTTTAAGAAAATATGTTTTTTAAAAGTATATATTCCTACTTCATAATTACATTTAATCTATTTTTCTTCCTCCGAAATCTGAGTTGAAGGCTCAAATATCGTATATGAATTATGCAGCGTACATCGAATTGCATTCCGGTGAAGTTTACGACTATCTCCACGTCACACGTGAGAATATGTACTGCGCACACAAAGTCAGATTATGTCAATACTGGATGTGGGCAGAAAGGCAGGTCGTCGACCAATGAGCCATTGTCTTGACAGGGAACAGCGAACGTGTACGAATGCTTCTTCGGCGAATCTGAGGCCCCCCACAATGCCCACCGCTGGCATGGTGCCCACAGCAACGCCTAGTCGGAATTTGGAATGGAACACTTGCGTGAACGCAGATACGTCGCTTGACATTGAATGAGAAGTCTTTGACCCGAGATTTTGATTTTGAAAATTATTATTTTTCCTTTATCTTCTTTGAAAATGGGAACTTGTAAATAGGTGCTTGCTGCGCCCATGATTTTCTGGAGAATTAGACTACTCTGATAGGATTCATCAGAAGGTTGAGATATGCATAAAATGATATTTCTTTATTTCATATTTTGGAGACGAATAATATCTAAGTTGCGTGGGCTACAGTTTGAAGTATAAATTTTTGAAAACCCTTCACTGATTCTTTGCATGTGACATCTATTTTTCTTTCTATTTCTACTAATTGTTTTTTACTTTTTAACTCTGGGGATTATAAACTAAATCTAAAATGATTTAAGAGAAGGAGTTACATATTTCCGAAATTTGACCAAATTATTTGTAATTCTTTTCAGTAAATCAAAACAGTATTTTGTTCTTTTAAAGTGAGTCAAACCATATTTAAAAAACTACAAACAAAATCTATTAGAACATAACAATGAGTACTATAAAATATTATTCAATTGGAAATTTTCAACATACATTGTAAGAAAACATTTAATTGAAACAAAATGTACAATCTGAATATTTTTGACACTAATTTAGTTTTACATTGTGTTACATTTATTGAAACTTGCACGTTCAACAAACATTTTTATTTGTTATCTGACTCTTCAAGGTGTTATTGACTGTGAACTAAGTGAATGATTAACTTCCACTATTACGAAAAGATAGCCTACAATTTGACTCGAAATCACACTTACAATCAAAAGTGTAGGTGTGTCCGTGGCATGTGAACGTCTGCCAAAACTGGCATCTCAGCCAACCACATTCTCACGTATTTGTTCAACTCATATCGGAAGATGGTATATAGCCACACCATTTCAAACCATAATGAAGGAGAGTTGTGTGGTAAGGTGTCAAGGGGGAAGTTCCGTATGATCACATCATACTACCAAGTCAATGGACGAGTCGGGCACTGTAATATGTTTAAAATATGTTTACTATTAAACTTGTAAAGTACGAATTAAACTTTTCAACATGAAAACACTCGCTGGAGGTGCCACACTGAGATATTCTCCGATTTAATTACAGTGACTTGTGACTTCATCAGCTGGACGCATAGTTATTCCATCAGTTGCTTCGTTATGACTTTAATTTTTGGTATTGAAGCTCACGATATGGTAACCATGTCACCGCTGATGATCAGTCACAGATCACTATAATTAAACCGGACAATAATTCATAAGTCAGGCTCGGAAGTTGATGAAAAATCATATTTTTAATTATGAGCTTTATAATATGCGAATTATCAAATGACCACAAAAAACAATCAAAATATGAGAAAATCTGTGATTTTATATAGCATATTAGTACAAATTTAGATTATTTTGTGTCAACGCGTATTTCCATTACATTTAAGTAATTCTTCTTATTTTATTGCTCTTTTGTTCTTAATGTGTCATATTTCTCTTGGAATTTCAATTAATATGCATATGTGCTTCATCAAAATGAAAAGGGTACTTCACAAATGTTAATGCGAATGCTATGCATTATAAATAGTGTGAATGTCTTTTGCTCGTTGCAACAGAATTTATCTGAACTTCTTTTAGATGACATCATAGCGCTGGTACCAGGAAATGGTTTGTCAGATTATTAATGATGACAATAATTTTCTTTGGTAAAGAATGACGTAGCATTGGAATGTGGCATAGGAATTGATACTTCGACGAAGATACAGACGAAATCATCATATCTTACTTTAAAACATATCGCTCGAATACTAAATAGAGACCTACAAAATGAATTGCTAAAATTAAAAGTTTTGGTATTGTTCACTCAAACATAAAATGGCTAATTTTTGTTAGAGCATAGATTATTAGTTCTGGGACATATTTTACTGATGTTAAAGCATATTTGCATACATATTTCACCTTTTTATACAGCATTAACTTCCGAACCCTCTCAATAAGTGTTCTGTTCGTATCCCAGACAGAGCGTTGACGAGTGTGTGCGTGTGTTTGTGTGTTGCAGCGCGCGCAGGCGTTCTGCTGCACGTGCCCGCGTGCCCTGAGCCGCACGGCGTGCAAACCTACCCTCACCCCGAGCTGTGCGACCACTTCTTCCTCTGCACCAACGGCACCGTCACCCTCGAGCAGTGCGAAAACGGCCTCCTGTACGACGGCAAGGGCGCCGTGCACAACCACTGCAACTACAACTGGGCTGTCGACTGCGGCGCGCGCAAGGCCGACCGTGAGTCGCGCTGTCAATAAATAAAAAACAAATAAATAAATAAATTTAATATAATAAATATTATTATAATATATAATATATTAATATAAAATATATTATTACATATAATATATATTTATTTAATATATAAATAAATATATTTTTATCAGTTGCTCCTCATGTTTATTTGTTCATTAATGATCACATATATGTAATATGTTTACGAAATTAACATTTTCTTAAAGAAATTTCAAATCTTTTTGATATCATATTTGTCTATATTTTCATATACAGAAATATTTTAAGAACTTTAGGAATTCTTCATATTTTCCTTATGTCAATTTCAATTTTTAATAACAATATGTTTCATATTATAGACTTTCAAAATTATCCTTGAAATATTATTTTTAATTTTCGATGGCAAATCGGATTTAGAAGCAGATCTGCTTATAACTCCACAATCATTTGCTAGGTTCGAAAAGGGATCCACTACTTCTGATGTTGACCGATATATTATCTACTTCAAAGCAATAACAATACATAAAAAGAACAATTTCACATTTGAAAATTTAAAATTGTGCTACCGTAATCCACTGCTTTGTAAATGGCGACTTGTCAGAAAGCTTAAAGAAATTTAATGCCAAAGAATATTAACGATAAAAAACGTAGGTAAATACCCAAAAAAGTAATTGTCATCTTTCAGGCGAATTGTTAAACTTAAGAGAAGTCGTTTGCTCTACATCCTAATAGTATTTTTTTACGAGGAAATAATTATGTGAAAACTCAATTTTCAGTAAACACATTTCTTCACTTGTCAACAAAATAAAGGCGTCACTTTTCTTGTGCACCAACGATGTGTAAAAGAACCACTGGAACTATGGTCGTCTATCCCAGAGTTATCTTTACTGCTTTTCATATTTTATTTTTAACCTAATTTTCACATTTCAAAAGCATAGTTCAGACATCGCTTTATTTACTATGATCCGTTGACTGATGAGACGTTGTGCCGTTGCAGTTACTCCCATCAGTTCTCCCGGGTGCCTGTACCAGTTCGGCATCTATCCCGACAGCCCCGGCTGCTCCAGCACGTACATCAAGTGCGCGCACGGAGAGCCCCACCAGGAGGCTTGCGACGCCGGCCTCGTCTACGACGACAAGATCCACGGCTGCCAGTGGCCAGACATGCTGCTGGAGCAATGCAATCCTGAGGGTGAGCTCCCCACACGGCCCCGCACGGCCACGCACCAGCCCCAGCGGCGGCTCGTACTTGTTTCTTAGGAGAAGGAAATTAGTTTTTTTGTATTCGAGCGCGTAATCAAAAAAAAGAGAGAGAAAAAAAAGAAAAAAAAGAGAGAAAACAGAAAAAAAGAGAGAGAGAAAAAGAAAAGAAAAAAAGAGGGGGAGATCGTTAGTCCCGTAAGTGTAGTGTATGTTACCTCCCGAGAGATGGCAATGGTCCCCTCCCGATATGATATTAGATCCGACACCGATCTACATGTGGGCTTGCGGGATTTCCTTCCCCCAGGGACCTCCGACATCGGGGCTCTGCCCCACAGCCGGTCAAAATACTAAACTCCCAACTGATAACCCGAAATATCTGGTAGCGTGGTGCATTTATGTGTGTGTAGGTATGAGAGGAGTGAATGGGAAAAGGATGGTGAAGAAAGTATCCTTTCGATCATCTGATGAGGTACTTCTCTGATATTCGCCTCGTACGGAGAAATTTCTTACGACTAGGAAAGATCCCAATAACACACACTACTTCAAATGAAACGTCCAGTAAATTACATTTGTGGTGATCCTTCAACCGGACTTCCGTCAGATTATGGTGTACTACAGAGATGCATCTTAGAGGAAAGGTATTTCTTTCCTCTTTGATTACACCGTTCCCCAGCCTCTGCCGTTGACTCGCCTCGTCCTGGGACGCCGTGATTTGCTGAACAATACCTCACTAGACGGACGTTGAATCAAGGAAGAAATTCCTCCCTCCGGCCCGTAAGGATCCATTAAAAACGTAACTCATGTTTCTGAAACATAATTCATGTTTTCCCCATACAGTTCCTGTACACTTCGTAATGCTTTAAAAGTCCACACTAAAAATTGCAAACTAAAAATCTATAGCATATACGTGTCGCTTCAGCTCGATAATATTGAAAATGCTTACGAAACGGAAGTAACAGGAATGGCTAGGCAACAATTTTAGATATTATAATTAAACTGTGTGGATGTTAGTGTACCGTACCTGTGCTGCAATTGTGTATAAAATCTCTGTGACATTTAAAAGGTTAACATATATATCATGAACGAATACAAATAAATGTTCGTGTCTGGGTAAGAATAATCCAGTTGATATCTTATTACAGTTTTCATTCTCGTTCCTTCAAAACAATACCTATTGATATCATGATCAGTCTCCGCTTACGGTCTTATTTATAACGTCTACGCTCATAGTTTCCAAATCAAATTGCACGACTTCTGAGACTTGTTTGGCGAAGTTATCATCCTGTTTTCTTCCAGCCTTCCCTCTTCACGCACAAGTTCTCAATGCATCTTGAAAGTTTTCATATGCTTGCATTACCGATGTCATACGTTAATAAGTTTGAATATTTGCTACTCCTCAGCTCAAATTATTTCTAATAACATTACCTGTACCCTTGTTTTCACTCTGAATAGTACATGAAACTTTACCCCCAATAGAGATTTTAATTTTCTGTGTCAAAATTAATTAATTAATTAATATGAAACAGTCAGTTAGAGCATTCTTCTTTCCCTAGCGGTAAGCAATATTTTGACTGCTTTCTCTGTGCGCGCAGCTGTGATCGGCTTCAAGTGCCCGGATAAGGTGCCGTCCAACTCCGTCGCCGCCAAGTTCTGGCCCTACCCGCGCTTCGCCATCCCCGGCGACTGCGGACGCCTCATCACCTGCGTCAACGGCTACCCGCGCCTCATCACCTGCGGCGAAGGAAAGGTTTTCGACGAGAGTTCGCTTACTTGCGAGGAGCCCGAACTTGTCCCCAAGTGGTAAGTCGCTTGCACGAAAGGGCAATGTGGATGTTACTACTGCATCCAATGGCACACACATCGAACGAGCTTTATTTCTATTTTTATTGTATTTATAATAATAGCTACTATCGTTATTGTAGTCATCGTAGAAAGCCAATGTTACTATAGTTTTACTTATATCCTTATTACATTATTTATTTTTCCAATTCGTAGTCCTGATAATTTTTTATTGTGTCCTTCCTCAATTGAATGTATCACGTGAAGTGTGTAACTCCATATAATTTATTTCGAATTCACTTTATATGGGAACGATAATTTTCTCTTATGTGTCCGACAACAAAAATTAAATGGATGTCTTATGAATAAATTTTCAGTACCTCTCAGAAGTCATTTCCTAGAGTTTTTAATCATGTAATTGTTCAGGAGAATCAAAACCAGACTTGTTTAGCTTAACGTCACTGTAAATAAAGACATCGACAGTTCTTGCAACTCATTGCAATTAAATTGAAATATATCTTCGAATAAATGTTTATTTCAATACTTTAAAGATTTGCGGTTTATTCAATGATGTATATTTTGTCCAGTATACGTTTTTTCAAGATGCACAATATTAAAAAAATAATTTAAAAATTTAATTGAATAATGATTTAGTTGCTATTTTGTTATCTTGTAGGATACGTATTTCATTCAATAACGCGAATGGTTAATAATCCATTTTCCAGATAAAAATTAATGGGTTTTTTACCTTCATACATCATAAAAAATATTTAATTTCATATTTTAACTAATGAAAGTATGACGTTCGTTATGTGTATGTAGAAATATGAAACATTTATATAACAATTTGTAAATAATTATTAATAACACATTAGCATATGTTTATATTTATTAGCATATGCACCAGCCGAGCATATGTCAAAATTATGGTCATTACAAAAATATTGTTTTGAAATTATTTAAAAAACGATATTTTCGATATACTTCTTTCGCTACAGTATAATCAAACATTTATTCTTTTCTTTTTCAGTGCCAACCATCTCAAGAAATGAAGATGAGACAGGGAAGCAACATTTGGTGGAAGTTTCAAAACTTTCCTTTTTTATTTTGATCCATTATTCCAAAATTCAATTCGAAATTATATCTTCATCAATAATTGTTGTATTTTTGTTATTATTTACATCCCAATCATTGTGTATTTCAGCATGATAGTAAGGGGATTCGCTCATCTCTTATTTACATATCAATATTTTCAACAAATCTGCATCCGAAGAACAAATGCAATATCACGCTACAACACAGCTCGGGAAGCATTTTTGTACTTTTTTACTCATATACTGTCTAAAATATCTCGACTGTATCAGCAAATAAATTACAGTAACTATTCTCTGTGCAAGTAATTATTGTGAATATGACATACAATGCAAGCATTGAAAGAGTGAAAATCAGTTCCCTGATTTATTGCCCTTTCTTCTTCATTTAAGCACCTATTTCCTTAATGCATCAGTCTCTTTATTGACACTAATTTTACGATACATATAATATATTAATATAGTGCAAACATAATTTTTCACACCTTTTCTTTAGTCCATATTGGATCATTTCTTCCATTCTTATGTTCTCCTCTATTAGTCTTCCTGAAGTTGATGATCCTTTAAACCTCTCTCCTTAAAATCTACTCCTTAATTTTTTTGACCTATTACATGAATGTAGTTATGCTATCTTTCTAGCAACGAAACATAGTAATTTATTTTGTTCATGTATTCATCCATTTACTCAAATAACAACTGCATATTGATTGTATGATTTTTTTGCTTTCTCACTTCAATCTCATTGTTTCCACTTTACTGTCACCTACATGCTTTCAAAAAACTCAAGAAGTGCACAAATTTTCATTGAGGATTTTTACTTTTTTCCTTTTATTGTGTAGATTGGGAGGACTGTAGGTGAATGAATTACACACCTAGTGTTGGAATGGTTAAGATATCAAGGAATGCAAAAAATTACCATTCTAAATATTAGTTTTAATGCGTGATAAACACATAAAACGTTTAGAGGTATAAAATGCATATTTTTATGGTATGATGTGTATTTACTATAAATTTTAAAAATTATTTCTTTAATCTGAATATTACAAATTACCGAAATGCAATAACTAAAGCAAGAAAGGGGTTATCTACAGACATCAAGAAAAAAACTAAATTGATACATTTTTCTAAGAATTAAAAATTATATTGACTTAACATATATGGAAAGTTTACATCGTAACTGAATTTTTCCTGTATTGGCAGATTTATTAATATTCCAAACGTATTATGAATGGCTGAAAACCAGAACAGTATAAATCTCATTTTATACATTCTGAGAAATCTGTTTATTTAAGTGAATTTCACTATAAAGTCCTAGTGCTTTGCCTCATCATTAAAACCATGTAATTTCAATTGTTTATCATAAGACCACGAAAGTACATTGCCCCTGATATAAAGTCTAAAATAAACATGTTTTCCACTGAATTTATAAAATGTCACTTACACCGGTCTGGTTCCACGTATTCATATACGTTAGGAAAAAAGAGAAATTTATTATTTGCAATGTAATTAATTATTCGGAAATCCTCTCGTCTAAAACTGAACTGATTTTTCTTTAGTTTCATCAACCCTGCAAGAAAAAATATTATCCTTTGAGTGTAGTACGAATTACCGCGTACGTTTACTGCATATATCTTCCCAGCATTTCCCTTCAACATTTATAGTACAAAAACACTTTATAACACTAGAGAAGAGTATAACGTAACTCACTGAAGCATAATTTTATTACATCATTTCGAATTTACAATACTGTATTCAACAAAGTATTGTAATGTACTGATTAATCAAAGAAACCGAACGCGGTCCTGAATTTTATCTACGATTTGTCCTTCAATTAATGAAAGGTTTAAATCATTTGTTCAGGTGAACAATCCGACCTCGTGAAGTGAAGAGGTAGATTGGAAACCAATGTCTAATTTAATAATATTTAAACTACGATTTTGTAAATAAATAAATGTAGAACAGGATTTCTCGTATTTTCTATAAGTTACCGTCAAATTATATTATTTTGATTGTACGTATAATAGAGTGATCACATCTAAAAGGTAAGTCAGAACAACATTCAACCAATGGAGGTCCTCTGAATTACTGATAGTAGTTAGCGTCAAATCACACAATTTGGTCCGATATTGAGCAGCGTGGAAAGTACATTCTTGTAAATTTTCTCGGTACATGTTTTAATTTTTGAAAAATAGTAAGAAATTCATATATAGTCAAATTTTTGGTTTTGCATGTGAAAAGTATTATGTTACATGGGATACTACATTTTGAGGTTCTATACTAGTGTAAACCCACGCAGGAAATTAGCAAATTGTGATAAATTTAAATTTACATGCGAACAATGAATATTTCAATTAAGATTTATTGCATAATGAAATCTTAAATTACTCCTGCAGGATATTTTCTGTTCGATCTATATTTCTGTCAGAAATACTATTGTCAAAAGTTATACATAATTCTTTCGCCTCTTTTGTTGGCGAATTATAAAATCTTGATAACATATTCAAGATCAAATCATATTTCAGCAATGTTTCACAAACTACATGAATGAAATACAATTCTCTATGACCACTTCTTGATCTTTTAATTACACTTTTTGTTTACCTCTTAAAAAACAACTTTTTATTTCGTACACGGCCAATAATGTGCTTAGCAATTTTGAATTCACGCAACTGAATGGCAATGAAGAGAATTCGTTGTGATGGCAACAAATGTGGAAGGTTAGTTTTGCTTTAGTAACTTACATTCTCCCAGTCATTAAAAGAACAATTTCAAATTCGCTAACCCAATAGAAAATGTGGTAGAACAGAATATTTGGACTTGAAACCGTGATTTTTCTCATCTTGCATGTAGCATTTACATCAATCACTTTCTTTAAAAAAAATTTTCATGATTTCCCAATTATTCGGTCTTCTAACAATTATCTTGAGGAATTCATAAATTCATAGTAGTTAAAAACATATTTTGATAATGAATTTGTCGGGTGAAAATTTTGAGCTTTTTTGAGAAAATTCCGTTTGATTGTTTCTAGAAAGAAGCAAGTTTGGATTAACTTATATTTGAAAACTTCTGAGATTTCGAAAAACGTCCTGAGAGAACATTTGGGTCTTTTGAGTTTCCAAGTACATTAAATAATGACATTCACATTTGCAGTTCACAAAATGAAAATATTCGTTACCGCAAATGAAAAGTACAAAAAGGAGGATTCTGAAATAGCATAATATGTACTACATAGTCGAGGACAAATTTATCACCTTAAAATACATAATGACACTTTTTATTTAGTAAACTACATCGATGAAAAACAGGAGAATAGACCGACAGAGATGAGTCTATTACAATTTAATCTATAGTTTGTAGCATTTTGTATCATGAAAATACAAATATACTTCATGACAAAATAACTATTTTAATGAATGTATGGCAATAAAGGAAATCTAAATAGAAGAACTAAAAAAAATAGTATGCATTTCATCGGTTCAGTTTAACTACAGTAAATATTAAAAAGAAAGTTACGTTTTATGAACTTCAGGTAATATCAATAACACAATGATCTCAATGAAAAGGAAGATGGAGGTAACATCTAGGCCTGCGTAAGCCCCCGTTAAAAGGTCACCTTTTCGACAAAAGAAATAAAAAAGGCCGAGTAAGAGATAAAATCAAGAAGTATTTTCCTTGTAGGATAGATGACAAAGAAGAAAATAATAACTAGCTGTCATTTATTAATATGTGGCTGGATTTTAGGTTATCAATAAACAGCTTCAGTGACAGCGTACAGCGACAGCTTCGGCGTAATTTTTCTTTTTTCATAGGTACATTTTCAGAAATCGTTCTAAAAATACTGAACATGTCAGACGTTATTATGATATTTACCAATAATAACAATAAGTAATTGTAACACAAGATCGGGTCACAAGAATGTCCTGAATGTCCACAGATTGTATGAGGTTTCTTAACAAAGCCTAAAATATTCAACTGTCTTAAAACACTCATCTTTTGAAAGAAATTTTGTAATAAAACCGTGTGTATACATTGAAGACATAGTAAAAACAATATTATACTCAATTAAAATGTTACGATGTGTTTCCAGCTTAATTTTCACATTTCTATATGAAAGGAAAATTAATACAACACTTTATCACTACAAACTCGCATGTACATATTCCTTCACTTTCGATTACCTTAAAGTGAAGTATTTCCTTTCATTAACTTTGTTCACGTCAATTTCCTCTAATATCATAAAAATCGAGTTTATTATAAAAATTCAAATGGATGAAAGTTATTATAAATAAGATTGTGTTATTTGAAATTATTGATATTTCTTTCTTATAAGAACTACTTTTTATAACTTGTGCATTGCGAGTGATGTACAAATACTGCATTCTCGTAGCGAACTCTTCAACTATCCGAGTAGGTCATATAGAGAACTCTGGTGGTAATAAGATTAATTACGAGAATAAAGAACGAAATATTCAGATTACGAATTGGTAGTTTACTTGTATAGATAATCAATGCTTATTTTCACTATGCTTGTTACAATTTATTGCATTTTTTCATATTTGTATAGATGCCGAAAAAGGTAAAAACAGTAACATTTAAATACACTATTGTATTAGAAAGTAGTAAATTTAGTGAATATCTTTGTATCACTGCAAAAATTCAGTTAAAGGAAAAAACTTCAGAATTTGTTGTAAATATTGAAGTATGGAAAAAAATAATAAATTAATAAAAATCATTTGCTTCTAACGCATTCGAAAATCTAGAGAGCTCTACGTTTTTATTCCTTTTTCTTTCAAATCATTCTGTAACGCTACATTACGAGTTACAATTCATTAATGATACTCTCATATCGCGATTTTTTGTCATAAATAGAAATTTACAAATTCCTGTAATTGCAAGGTAATATTGATATTTGAGATAAACAGTTGTGTTTCGACTTCATTTCTTGTCCATTTTTTAAAAATGTTGTTAAGAATACAGATCAATTAATAATCCCAGCAATAGTGATAGTGATTAATCGTTAAATTTGCAAAGTCATTAAAAAGTAATAGAATATAGAGTTATTTTAAAATTAATTTTAACTGAAATTCATTTAACGAAAAACCCGGAAGTGCGTTTCTCAATCTAGAATTGACTGCTCTTTTGAGAAGCGCTTAAATATTGCGAGACATTTTTAATTAATAATTATTATGCTTCCACGCACTAGTTCTTACATTTGCTTTACTAGAATTTCAAATAGCTTTTTTCTTCTGGAAGACGATTCCCGAAAAATACGCCTCAACGAAACTGTTCAATCATACGAAGGTTGCGTAAAAATGTCGGCTAAACAGGCAGCAAAACGTTGTGCATAGATCACCAAATCCACGATACATAAGCAGTTCTAATTGCAATGGTGATATTTAGTAAACACTCACCAAAACAGGTCTACTTTAAACAAGTAGGAAAGGAAATGAATTGAAGAAGCTTCATCAACTATCCACCATTTCCATGACGTCAGTGCGTGTCATATGACACCATAAAACTGAAGTCCACTAACGTTACGGTTCTGATGGGCGACACCCACCGAGAGAATTACAGCTCGACAAAGAACGCTACTGGCCGGCCGGCGATGTGCTGATGTCCAATGACGGGCGCTCACGGGCTGCGAGTGCTGATAAGAGCTATCGGCGGCCGGAGTGCACTGTCATTCCCTCGAGGCCGGGGT